CCCCAAAACCCCAAAACCCCAAAACCCCAAAACCCCATCTAGTAAAGATAGAGCAGAATTAATTTTGATATGAATCGAAAGTAATAATATCTTCATAAAGATTAGAGGATACAAATGTAAGAGGTAAGATTATTTGCATTTTCAGGTTCAACTTCCACAGTTGAGACACTCAAAGATTACTTCTTCTATCTCTTCTGCCTTCTTGTTGGCCAAAACGTCTTCAAGTCTAACATGTCTGTCCTCAGCGTCTTCTCCTAGAAGGTCATCTGCATTGTAGTTGTTTGTTGAGAATAACCTGTCTAAACGCTTAATATTATTTTGGTCATTTTCAATAACTTTGTTGCTGTCGAGGTTCAAACAGTTAATGATTTGATCAGTGTTTCCTGTATCTGTAGCTTCAAGCAAATGCTCTATGTCTACAGTAAACTTGATAGCATCTCTAGATGGCTTTGATCTCAAGTAGTATTAACCAGTCTTAAGACCGTTTTTCCATCCATAGAAGTGCATCGAAGTCATTTTTGCAAAGTTAGGTTCTCCCATATAAATGTTTGTGCTTTATGATTGACAAATGTAAGGACCTCTTCCAATAGCAAGATCAAGAAGGCATCTTTGTGGTATTTCCCAGACGGTCTTATAGAGATCCTTGATATGCTGTGGGATACTCTTGATTGCTTGAATACTTCCATTTAAACCAAGAAGGGAATTCTTAATATCACTAGAGAACAAATTCAAGTCAATCAAATCTTATACCAAGTGTGGGTTTACACAAACAAATTCTCCTGCTAGAACTCTTCTTGTGTAAACATTAGAAGTGTACGGCTCAAAGGTTTCATTATTTCCCAAGATCTATGATGTGGAAGCAGTTGGCATAGGGGCAATGAGTAGAGAGTTTCTAGCTCCGTGTTTCATCACATCTTATCTTAATTTCTCCCAATCGTATCTATCTGAGCATGGCTTCTTATCCCAAAGGTCAAATTAGAATTTTCCTTGGGATAATGGGGAACCCTAGAAAGTCTCATAAGGTCCCTCGGCCATTGCTTATTCCATTGATGCTTCCATTGAAGCATGATAGATGGTTTCAAAAATAAGTTCATTAAGTCTGAGAGCCTGAGGATCTTCGAATGGGATTTTCAACAACTGAAGGGCATCTGCGAATCCTTGAACACCAATACCGATTGGTCTATGTCTAAGATTTGAATATTTAGCTTCAGGGATAGGATAGTGATTGTTATCAATAATCTTGTTTAGATTCTTGGTGATTCTCTTGGTTACATAGTGTAACTTCTCATAGTCATACTCTTTAGTCTCTTTAATAACAAATCTATTGAGTGCTATAGAAGCAAGGTTACAGACAGCAATTTCGTCTGGGCTAGTAAACTCTACGATTTCAGTACAAAGATTCGAGGATTTTATACAACCAAGATTTTGTTGATTAGATTTTCTGTTACAAGTATCTTTGTACAGCATATAGGGTGTCCCAGTTTCAACTTATGATTCAACAATCTAGGTCCATAGCCATCTAGCCTTGATCGTCTTTCTTCCTCGTCCGGAAATTTCGTACTCCTCATAAAGTTTATCAAATTCCTCTCCCCAACATGTTGTTAATCCTGGGCATTCGTTGGGACACATCAATGTCCAGTCTTCATTCTTCTCAACCCTTCTCATGAATAAGTCTGGAATCCAGAGAGCATAGAACAGATCTCTTGCTCTGTTCTCTTCTTTACCATGATTCTTTCTGAGTTGAAGGAAGTCGTAAATATCTGCATGCCATGGTTCAACATAGACTGCAAAAGCACCTTTTCTTTTGCCGCCTCCTTGATCAACATACCTTGCAGTGTCATTAAAAACCTTTAGCATAGGTATCAATCCATTTGAGTATCCGTTTGTTCCTCTAATGTAAGAGTCAGCTGCCCTGATGTCTGACACTGAGACACCAATACCTCCAGCAGCCTTTGAGATAACTGCGATTTATCTTAGAGTCTCAAAGATACCGTCAATTGAATCCTCTTTCATGGTTAATAAGAAGCAAGAACTCATTTAAGGCTTTGGAGTTCCAGAATTAAAGAGTGTTGGGGTAGCGTGAGTGAACCAAAGCTGACTCATTAAATCATATGTTTCAAAAGCTGATTCTAGATCCTCCTTGTGAATTCCAATACTGACTCTCATCAGCATGTGTTGTGGTCTCTCAATTATTTTGGATCCATCTTTTAAAAGATAGGCTCTCTCCAGGGTTCTGAATCCAAAATAATCGTAGTTGTAGTCTCTGTCGTAAACGAGTCTAGATTAGATCTCGTCTTTGTTTCTCAAGATGATATCGTAGACGTCATCGGCGAGCAAGGCAGCTTCTCTTCCAAACTTGTCCTTGAAGTTTTTTAGCCTAGCTGAGACTTCGAGAAAATCGGATGATGTTTTCTTGTGCAAATTTGAAATTGCAATTCTGGCGGCAAGTTTAGAATAGTCTGGATGTACCATATTCATGTAGGCGCAGGTTTCCGCAGTTAAATTGTCGAGTTCAGCAGTCGTTACACCTATGATTTACATATTAAGAACTGATAAATGTCCGAGAAATATAGAACGTACCAGAATAGATGCCACTGAAAACTTTATTGACAACAACATCGTAATTAATGAACTTCTCGTTCAATCCTTGAGAATGGCACTCCATTCTACGTCTGATCTTTGCAATACTGATCTCTTAGTGACTTCCGTCTCTCTTAATAACGTATTTTGCTTGATTTTCATCAGACAAAGCTTCCATAATGTTTGTGTTTTACATGGGTTTTTGTGAAAAAATTAAATAAAAATTCTAATAGAATCTTAAAGCTTTATACGCGAATCTTTTACCCTTTAAAAGATAAGATGAGAATCCAAACAATACGTATTTATTATTAATTCTGGCACAATTCTACCTTCTCTTCATATGATTGATGAGGGATAACGGGGTTTTGGGGTTTTGGGGTTTTGGGGTTTTGGGG